AAAAAACAATAATTATTATCAATGCTAAAATATTCAATGTCGATATTGTTGCCATCACTATCATCACCTCATTTATCGTTAGTACGATACATAAGCCGACGAAATGGACTGTCGACGAAATAATTTTCGACGAAATGAACTTTCAACGAAACAAACTTTCGACGAAATGATTGTCGACGAAATGATTTTCGACGAAATAAACGGGGAAATAACTATAATTGCACTTTAGTAAGAAATTATCTTGATGATGCACTCTCCCCATATGAACGTTTCTTTGATAGACAGTTATCTTCAACAATGCATTAGCCATACGAGGTCCACATACAGTACGTCTAAAAGGAGTTGCAAAAGCTTTATTTACTTGTTCCAATGATGAAGTTCCACGTAAATACAAAAGTTTTAGATTTATTATTAATTTTATCTAAAAACTCAAGACAATTATTATTTATTTATTTATTTATTTATTTATTATATTAAAAATAAATACTTACCCTACCCTTTTGATTTAGCCTTCCCATTGCAACTGTCAATGATACAAGGAATGATAGGTACATAGTGATGATAAAATTTTTCAGGTCGCCAAAAAAAAAATAGTCATCATCGGAAATTGGTGTTAAACTTCGATAAGAGTATTTTGGAGGATGATACCATTTAGAGGCATGTTTAGATGGAATTTTATCTCCTTTACAAACATCTAATATCTTTTGTGATACAATTTCTATGTTTTCTGCTTGTTTTTTTTTTGAATATCTCTGTCTATTTCTTTGGGTTATTACTCGATGTGGGAGGATGGAATACAGCACTGACGCAATTAATTTTTATTAAATTTATGAATTAGCCAATCGAAATAAATTTATGATTCAAAATGATTGGCTCAAAAATCCTGGCACTCAATAATAAGCCCAAATTTTTGGAACCATATAAAAAAAATTTTATACTATGATTTTTAAGATTACATGTATGATTAACAAAAAGGATTAAAAAGAATTTAAAGAACAAAATGCACGATACAATGTAAATTTATTATTTTCCTTTGTCTCAATTGCAACTGGTGTAGAGGCGCCTATAAAGAAAATGTCACCAGGCTCTAATAATTCAGTTTGAGCATTATCACCATCGCTTACATTCAAAGTACCTTTCCCTTCGGTAACAATAATTATACTAGGACCATTTACACTGTCAAAATTTTCTCTTTTATGGGTTTCACCTCCTAACTTTGTTAAAATAATGGAAAATTCTTCTATTGGTGGATCATACAAAAGAGAAGTGGCTGATTTGTTATAATGTGTGTAAGGAAGAATTTGAGATTCTGCAGTACCAAAACGGTAAGTTAGCATATCAACAAGAACTTCAACATCTTTAAATTTTGGTGTCAATCCTGCACGAACAACATTGTCACTTGCTGCCATACATTCTATAATATCTGAAATAAGATGGATTAAATTAAAGCAGAAATGAAAATAAATATATTAATTCATATTCATATTCATTAATTTTACCTCCTGATAAATAGGCATGAGGTTCATTAGCTCCTAGAAAAATTGCTTGGCCAGGTTTTAATTGTATATAGTTCAACATGAATACACAAAAAATTCCAATATCTCCAGGAAATTGCTCATTCAATCTAATTAATAATTCATCTGAACTTCCCACTTTATACTTGATGTTATTTGATTTCAATTTTGAAATTAGACTGTCAACCTTTTCTTTTACAATATTTGGATCTGTTTTCATTACTTTGGTAAATATTTTTTTTAATGAAGATTTACTTTTTTTTAATGTTTCCTCATCATTAGAAATTTCAGAAGCTCTTTCTGCTTTTCTAAATTCCTCTACCAACTCTTCTCCAATAAGGTCACTGAATTCTTCATATCTATCAAGAAAATTTAATATTTCTTGTAATGGTCTAAATCCGCACAAAGCTTCAAATTCAGTAATAGCGATTGCTAATTCAGGCTTATGATTTGGATCTATATAATAATCAATGATATAAATTATCAAGATAATTCTTTTTTTTTTTGGGAAAAACAATCATTTATTTATCTACCTTTATATCTATTTGGATATTTTTCAAATAATATTCTTCCAAGTTCTTTATCAGGATGAGCTTGAATAGAAAGAGCTTTATTTACTGATAAAACCTTAAATAGAAATGGTAAATCTTGATTATATTTATCAGCAATCTCTTTTGTGATTAAGTCTTGATTTGATTTTATCAAATCTTTGAGAGGCATTATTTTTTTTTGATCCATAATTGCTGAACTTGGTCCATTGGGATGAGTACCCATCCAAAGCTTTAATAAAACAATATAACTGTTAGATGAAATTATTTTAAGAATAAATTTTTTTGATATAAAATTGATATTTTTTATGCCTACCTCAGCATAAGGTTTATCATTTTCAAGTATAAATCCATCTTGGACTTTAGCAAATTGTGCTACTTTACTATCAGAACCAATCTTACCCCATTCATAATTTTGAACAGCATTTTTTAAACGGTAAATTGAGGACTTTTTGGTCATAATTATTAGAAAATAATAAATAAAATTTTTTTATAATACACAGACAGACTCGATAAGTCAGCCGCATAATTTATACTATTGAGTACTTTAAACAATTGATTACTGCGGGCTGACTTATCGAGTCTGTCTGTGTAATTGATGTTTTCGTCAATCTTGTAAAACCTAAATATTACCACAACAAATTTTAATAAACAAACATCTTGGGCATTTTGAAACCAAACGTTGACTTGATTTTTTATTAGTTTTAATGTTTTGAAATTTTTGAAAGTTGGGTATTGAAGTATTATTAGTATTATTATGGATTAAAATTGCTTATATGAAAAATCATCTGATAAATAATTGTCTGGTTCGATTATTGTGCTTTAATTAATTTACACTACATTCGCTACATCACAATATATATATACACCATGTGGACACAGAATAACAAGAAGCTAGGTTATTCTATGACAAGCTGAAAGTATTGCTTTTGTTGACAAGATTTTATAAAAATTGCACCTATAGTTTGAAACCTTATATCTAAGTAATGTCTAAATTTTGGGGGGAAAACCCGTATCTATAATGCGCTTTGATATTTTGTAACTTACCTTTAACCTTTAACATCCACTGATCAGCATTTCAGAAATGCATGGATGACCAATTTTATGAGACATGATGCAAAAGATTTTGCAAGTGAGATATCACTAGCGTTTGTTAGTGGAAATGAACTATACCTACCGTTTCCGAAAATTTAATACTTCAGGAACAAAGGACGTGTAAAAGAGGCGATAAATCAGAGTTTACAAAGTGACTCCTGTTTGTTCGAAGATGCGAATATCCTAGCATTGAAGTCATATATGATGGTTTTTACCTACTTAACTACTGGTATGTGGATAGACAGTCTGGCAGATACATTGGCATTTGCTATTACAATGTTTTAAAATGGTCTTAAGATCACGTAATGTTAGAACTGAAAAAACATATTAATATTAACAGGGTGTCAAAGAAGATAAATTGAAACCAAAAAAAAAACAAAACCAAGACTGCTGATTTGCTATTACCGATAATTTCTTTCGTGGCTACTGGAGAGATCTTCGTTTATATCACCACGACGATGACAATTAATCACCACTGATTAGTTCCAGAAATTCAGAACAATGTGATCTTGTTCCTAAAGGAATACAATATGTTTCTTATTGAAAATATTTTTGTTTACCTTTTAAATCATTGATTTGTATCTGACTCAGAGATCACAAATCGATGAACAATTTTATTGTGCAAAAATTTGATTTACATATTGTCCAAATTTAATTTTATTACCACTATTATGCTTTTTTGCATAAACAGCAATTCACTTTTATCAAGAAAATTTTTTGATGTGGTATTAGAAGCAAAAAAAGAAACTTATAAAAGATTTTTAGGGATCATATCCCGTCACTCACAATAGAACTTATTTCGTGAATGAAAATCAGGCCGATTCTTGTGAGGAAAATATTCCGTGATAAATGAAAATTATAGCATGTCTCGTTTCATAGCAAGACATATGTGTGTATTAAATGATGATTATTATTTATTATTATTTATTATTATTATTATTATTAAAAATTCATAAAAGAAAATTTATTAAATTATGATTTTGATGATATGAAAAATGCATAAATAAATACATGCTATTGAATATTAAATCTTCTCTCATTTAATCAATTAAAAAGGGAAGAAAATTGGTAACATTAATTATACAAAGTTAGTGTTGAATTGATTGATATTTTTTTCATGCTTCTTGAATAATTGACGTTGAACCTATTATTTCGCCATTTCGCCATTGCCACTGCCCCCGTTGTCATTAATATTAATATCAATAATATTGTCATTATTACTATCGTTATTACTTTTTACATTAGTAATTTTATTTGATTCTTCTCCATCGTCACCATAGTCATTATCATTTTCTTCGACTATTATTTGTGTTTCATGCGTTATAGTAACTTGGGTTTCTTGGGTAACTTTAACTTGAGTTTCTTGTATTTGATTTTGTGTTAACGATGATGACGATGATAAATGTTGTTGTCGTTTTTTTTGTCGTTGCTGTTGTCCAACATTACCGTCACCATCACCGCTAATTTCATTATTGTCATCTTCTTCATCACCTTCTTCTTGGTCTTCTACTAAGTTACCATCAACATCACCATTATTATCCTTATTTAAACCCTCTAGATTTAAATTTTCTTCTTCAACATATGCTCTTCTGCTCACCGAACTTTTTTAAGAAAAAAAAAATAAACATTTGATTGATTGATTAATCTTATTCTTTCAAACCAGAGAGTAACTAAAATAACGAACCTTCGAGTTAGAGGTCTACAAAGTACCCAAAGACAATTCATATAAATATTTCCATATCCAAATGGATTTCTTTTACCATTTCTTCTAGCCATAGGAACACGAATCTTAAAAAAGAGATTAATTAATTAGTTAATTAATTAGATAGATAAATAGATCTGAGTATATAGTAATGTTAATAATAATAAGAATAATAATGTTTTCTTTGTGTGGAAAATAAATAAAGCGTACCTGTTCGTGTGTAGTTAAATTTTGACTAATTAAATAACCATGATAGCATGTTAATCCGCCAACAGTCCACATTAAGAAAAATCCTAATATAATTAACGCAAAAGTAAACATATTACATTAAGGAAATATAAATATAAATGTACAAATAAATAAATTCCATTTTTTTTTAAAAAAAAAAGGATATCTAACAGGGACCCTCATTAGTGTTTCAACAAAATCGAGATTATTGGTTGTCTTTACTAGCAGGAAATGTGCAAGACAAAATCCTACCACATAACCACATAGTAAAGTTGATGTAGCAATAAATGTAAAAAAGGTTCTATAATTTCTTTGACCTATACAATTATTTAACCAAATACAGTGATGATCTTCGTTTTCTATTTGAAGAAAAGATGGTTTATTTTAGAATAAATCCTTTTTTTTTTAATTTTTTTAAAAAAAAAGAATGAATTGATGAGTAACACAAACCAACACAATTATCACATTGTCGACAATGACTACATCTTGGTGGTCTATAAATCTTACAAGTTTCACAATATTTCAACCTAATAATTTGTCCATTAACCTTAATCTCTCTAGGAAGTGGTATATTACTATATGCAACATTATTATTATTGTTGTTATTATTTATTGTATCATTTAGATCTTCAGTTGGTGGAAAAGGGTCAAGATTACGTGGAATAATCTATAAAATAAAAATTATCAGAATAAGAAAAAAATTTTTTTAATAAAACAAAAAGAAAAAAAATGACTTACGCCAGGATCAGACCACGAAGTTTTTAACATGCTTGTTAGAGCTAATAAAAATAAATAAACGAATACAAAAACTGTTGCTGGTGAAACATTATAAAATAAAAAAGGACATCTATCAAGTTAAATTAAGGAAGGTTAAATTAAAAAATATAATAAAAATATAATTTTTCAAGAATTTTATAATAATAAATACTAACGTAAATATCATAAAAAGTCCAGATGGTATGACTAAAGCTGAAAATGCCACCAAAAAGGCAAAAGAATCTCTACTTGTCATTATTCTACCACCCAAGAAAAATCTATTTCTACCAGGCCAAACTTGGTATAAACGTTTTCTTTTCTTATTTATATTTTTGTCATTATTATTACTATTATTACTACTATTGTTATTGTTGTCATTATCTGTTTTAGACTTTTTAGGTTTAGATTTTGAAGATGGAATAATGTGAGGCATAAGGCTTGTATCAAAATCAGTAAAAGTATTTTGATTTTGGTTCTGTGATGATGATGGTAACGGTGTTGATGATGATGACGATAAATGATAATGATTTGTAGAGGGCATTATCAGCTCATTTGGACTTATTGTAAATATATTGTTATTATTATTGATATTCATATTTAAATCTCTGGAATTAGGTAATGCACCAGATCCTGGAAGAATAAGATCTCTGTATGATGATGTTGATGTTGATTGTTCTAATATTATAGAATATGAAGGATCCTGTGAAGAAATTGGTGGTTGTTCAAGTATTATTGAATCAATTGTTATGTTGTTGCTGTTATTTTGTAAATCATTATCACTATCATATATTGGGTTAAATGCTTGATCATGTGATGTTGGATTTTCTGATATTATATAAAAAAATAAGCATTATTAATTATTATTATTTGTACGAAAAAGGGGATAAAAATAAATACCTATTGTAGAAGTAGATGGTGTTGTTGTTGACAGTGAAGTTTTAATTTGAGAATTAGAAAAAACAACAGGTTTACGTCTAGTTGAAGCTTGTTGTGAAATGGGTTTTCTTGGAGCAAAAAATTGCTTGGAAGGTAAAATTCCAGATGCATGACGTGAAGCTCGCGTTTGATTATTACTCATTTTTTTGTTGACTGGCTATCTGACTATATAAATATATAAATAATTTGATTGATTTTTAATAATATATAATTCACATGTATTAACATTCCTTTATTTAAAAATATAAATATTTAAAAATATCAATATTTATTAAATTCTAAATTTTATTTGACTCCACTTGGATATACGTAAAAGATAATAATAAATTATTGAAAAAATGAAATTTTTTTTGAAAAATTTTTTTGAAAAATAAAATAACAAACATTATTGCTACTACAATTTTTTATTTCTTATTATTTGTATTAATTTTGCTAAACCTTTATTATTTATTTATTTTGAAATAAAGATTTTGTAACAATTACTCAATAAGTTGCAGATTATTTTTGTTATACACACACGCACCACATAAACATGTCCAACCATCTAAACCTTTCCTCTCCTCTCTCACACATTATTATTTTACAGTTTATTTATATTTGTAAACGTTTATCATTTATTGTTATAATTGTTAATCCAATAAACAAAGAAAATCAAAAATTTTTTGGGGGGTGAATTATTGAAGAGGATAAATTATTTTCATGTACATATGATATTCTATAATACTTGCCAACATTATCGTTATATTCAGAATTTAAAGAGTCAGATGTTAATGCAGCATAGATAATATTATTTACGTTTCCATCTATTAACATATTACGGTTATTAATATAATATTAATAACTTACGTGTTTCAAGATCCCAACAAAAAATTAGCGAAGCAAATTATTATTCTTCACCATTGAACAATAAATTTAAAATGGAATTCATAATAAACAAAACGTCATGTGGTTATGATCAATGGACTCAATAATCCAAGTCACCTGCTCATTTTTTCGTACATCAAAGTCACATGTTACCACCAATGATTATGAGAAATTCATATTTCAATTCATAAATGATGATCAATATTTTTACTTTTTCATCATCAAGTTAATAATAATATTGGGAACAGATGTAGAATTTTCTTTTTTTTTCAAGTTCATGTTTATTGTTAATGGTATTTCTACCATGGGTTTATTAAAAACATCAATGGATCTTGTTATGTAGTCTTTGATTTTTTATTATTTTTAGTTTTATTGTCATTGTTGTTACATTTTTAGTAATAACGAAGAAAATAAATTTTGAATAAAAGAAAGAAAGAGCGTGTTTAAAAGACAATAGAAGAAATATTTTTTTTTTAACAAACAAATAAACGCATATATATATACACACACATTTAACAAAAAAAACTTGCAATTGAAATTTTTTCTACACTTGCAAGGGAAAAAAACAGTATTTATTACACATTCCTTTTTGTCTAATAAATATTGTAAATATATTATGTTCATTCAACATACTAACCATTGGCTAGTAACATGCTACTATGATGAAAAAATAATACCCATCCCTACCTTCTTTTGGCTGTAATCAACTCTTTAGAACTAAATGTAATAGTAATGTTAATATTTATAATTGTACTTTCTAGCGTTGCTTCACTGTATATACCTTTTTTGGTTGCAACAAAAAAATAAATGCAATATTTTCGAATGCTTTCATCTACTTTAGAATTACCTACCCATTTTTCGAATTACTCTGATAGAACCTAAGCCTTAGAATGAATGTCATATGTAATATATATAAAAGCCGCGCATGTGAAGGATTTCGTAATTAGCTAAAAGTAATTGCAAAGTAATAGAGGTAGACGAATATTTCGGAGGAGCCTGTGGCTCTAGGTGAGAACAACATTGGAGGCTTGAGTCAAGATACGCGTACTCTTGTATGGTGTCACGAAAGTTTATAAAATATTAAATATTAACATAGATTTTTATTCTTTGTTATATATATATATATTTACACGTCCTAATAATAATAAACCCATATCAATTTATTATAATCATCGATATTATTATTATTGCCAACAAAACAATGTAAAAAAATAGAATAATTCATAAAAATTGATTTTCTTATTATTTTATATGAATGTAATATGTAAAAAAATATTTATTAAATAGTAGTAGATTGTTTATCGTTTTCATTGTTATTGCTATTATTACTGCAATTACCATTGTCATTACTATTATTATTGCTATTGCCATTGCAATTGCCATTATTATTATTGTTATTATTATCATCATCATCATCTTGAATCCAAGGATGATTTAATGATTGTCTAGCAGTAGATCTTTTATCCGGGTTAAGATCCAACATTGGTAATAAAAGACTTGATATTAATGATGACTCTTGTGAACTAAATAAATATTTATCCCTTAGAACATCTGAAAGTCCCCAATGGCGTAATTTGTGAATATGACGAAGCTCTCCTTTAAATAGTGATAGTAGTAGTAATAATAATGTTTTGAAAATTAATTAAACATGTAATTAACTTTAATCAATAAATCAATCATTAAACAATTAAACAATCAATCAATTAATTACCTTTTTTATTAAATATTTCATGGGAATATTTACCATTTAATGCTAAATGTTTTGGAAATATTCCTAATAATTCCACGATTTGGGCAATATGATCTATAAATTAAATTAAAAAGCAAAGTAAAATATAACAATTAATTTTTTTCCTCTTTTAGAAGGAAATGATATTGTAATAATAATAATAATAAAGAATACTTGCCATCATCTTTATTGTATCTTGAACCTGCTTGAGGATCAAATAAATAATCACCTGTAAGTAACTCAAATGCCTACAAAAAAAAATTTATTATTATTATGATTATTATTATCATCAACATCATATATAATATTTAATTATAAAATCTATCTAATTTTAATATCTTTTTACCATGCAAGCCATACTCCAAATATCAGCACTTCTGCCCCATCTACTTCCAAGGATCACTTCCGGACTTCTATATTGTCTTGTTTGAATGTCATTGGTAAAGTGGTGTTCGACCCAACAAGCATTACCTAGATCTGCAATTTTAACGGTAATTTTATCTGGAGTGGTCCATTTTGATGATAATTTGCGAGATAGGTTAGCTTGTGATTTAGTATTAGCATTTATAGAAGATGAAGTTATGTTAGAAGAATCAACAAGGGATATATCATTAAGATTACGTTCTAATGTTTCTCTGAATTATAAATAAATAAATTTGAATAGTAATAAATCATGCATTATATATAAATGAACTGATTTGATTTTAATAACTAAGGATTTTATAAAAAGAAAAAAAAAATAATGATTGTTACGTTAATGTCGTATCTATTGGAGTTTTAGATGCATCTGTCATCTCAACATCCTTGATATAATCTTCTTCGTTACTTATTTCTATTCGATCGTCGGCTACTTCTATATCTTCTATGCTTCCTCCGTTAGTTGTTATTGTAGCAGGAGTAGTAGCGGTAGGAGTATTAGTGGTAGGAGTAGTAGTGGCGGTGGTAGTGGCAGATTGTTCACTGTTTCCTTTTGCTGCTTTTTTCTTTTGCTTTGCTTTTAATTTTTTTTTTTGATTTTTGTTCATTTCTTTTGGTGAAAATGACTCATTCACTAATGATGATTTTTGAGTGACAGAAGTACTAGATGAAGGTGATAAGAGTGGCTGACTACCAGTTATACAAACACTGTGACCTTTTCTAGTGGAAGAAGTAGTTGATACTGGTTTTACACCAGTTGCAAGCTCATTCCTAATAACTTCCTCAACGTTATCAATACACACTAAAACATTTTCCGGTTTTAAATCAGTGTGAATTATACCACATTCTCTATGCATATAATCTAATCCCATAAGCACTTGTTTTGTGATCTGCTTGACCAAATGATGCGGTATACCACGGTGATTGTATCTTTTGATTAGACTTAATAAATTTTCACCTAGTACTTCAAAAACCATGCATACATGAACTCCATTAGGACCTGAATGTTGAAAATGATCTAAAAGTTCTACAATATGACGACGGCCTGGCGCATTTAAATTTGCATCAACTATTTTCTTAAGTAATTTGATTTCATCTAAAGCTGTTTCTGTATAATGTGTTGCTGATTTTACAACTTTAAGAGCAACATGACGATCACGACTTTTTGTTATTGTTATTGTTGAAATTATAGTTATTATTTAAAAAAAAGAAAATTAATAAATATAGATTATATAAATAGAATTTAAAGTTTATTTAAAAAAAGTAAATTAAGCAAGTATATAAATATGCATACGAATATATAAATATAATATTCATATTTAAAAAAAATTTTAAATGTTCTTTACCGATTATCTTTTGCGAGCCAAACTGTTGAAAAATGACCCCAACCCAATTTTCTTACAACAGTATACCTTCCTTCATTAAACACATCGCCAATTTTAATAGGGTGATAGCCTCCTGTACAGTAATCTTTCAAGTCCTCCTCATCTTCAGTTAACACTTTTGATATTTCTTTTTCTTCAGAAGAGGTGCAGGTTGACAGGGTAGTCATTGTTATTGAATTTCATTGGCCATTTGGATTGGCTATTTGTCCCAATTATGACAGGATTCGATAACGTCACACATTTGATCTGCGTGTGACATAATCATTTTAAATTGAAATTTTTTTAAAGAAAAAAAAGTATTATATGACTATTTTAATCAGAGAAAAAACCATTGCAAATCATTTAATAATAATAATAATAATATTTAATAAATAACAATTGATACATAACAATTAATAATTATGAAACTTTATTATTTGGAGGAGAAAAAATTACGTGATAACTAAAAATTTTCCAAATTCGCTAAACAAGCACGTGGTAAACAATAAGCAATTGATTAAACTATTATAGAAAATTGATTAACAAATCATTTTTAAACGTAGGTTAAAAATTTTAATAATAAAAAAAGATGTCTATACCCAAACCAAGTTGGGCTGATGAAGTTGGAGAAGAACTTGGTAAAAAGTTTGTTATATATATTAAAAGATCACGTTTTTTAAATCTGGGATATTTATTTATCAATTCTTTTTTTTTTTTTAAAAAAAATTTAACAGATCAGCTTCCACTCGAAAATTTTGCTGATGAAAATGTTGTAACCATTGTTACTGAACAAACTAATGATGAGGGTAAAAAAGTGAAGGTGAATATTTAATGATTGATGAGATTATATATTTAGTTCAATTTTATGAAAGCTCTATTTATTTTTATATATATATTGTTTTTTTCAGATTACTAGGAAGATCAAAAAAACTTTGATTAAAGAATATGTGAATAAATCAGTTGCTGAGAGAAAGGTATAAATGATGATGATGATGATGAATATGAATGTTTAAATGCTGATTATTATTTGTTAATCATTTAATCTATTAAAAAAAAAGAAATGGGCAAAATTTGGAGAAGAAAAAGGCAAGAAGCCGGGTCCAGATCTTAGAACAACAACAATTGGTGAACAAATTTATTTGAAACTTTCTACCACAGGAAAAGTAATACATATATACATACATACATGCATACATACATACACACACATACATATATGCTTGAAGGCATAAATAGTAGATCAATTAATATTAATTATTTTGCTTGGTAAAAATAGCATGGAGAATCACCAGAAGAAGCAGATGCAAATAAGAAAAAACAATTGTTAATGTCTAAAAAGATTCTTTGTCGTATATGTAAAGGGGATCATTTTACATTGAAGTGTCCATATAAAGACACATTTAAACCAATAAATGATTTAACATCTGATTTACAAGATGCAAACAAGAAAACAAGTATGTTATTAATTAAATTATTAAATTTGCGATAATAATTAATTAAATTATTTATTCATTTATTTATAGCAACAACTACAGAACCATCATCAACAGCAGAACCACCATCTGATAAATATGTTCCTCCAAATATACGTTCAGGAGCATCTAAACCAGCAAATGCTGGAGAATCAATGAAAGAAAGAAGAGGTGATGTTAATTTTATTATTATTATTTTATAAGAAAAAAATAAAAAATTAACATTATAAATTTATATATAGATGATGCATCTATCCGTGTTACCAATTTATCTGAAGATACTACTGAGGGTGATATACATGATCTTTTCCGTAAATTTGGAAGCATTTCACGTATTTACCTTGCTCGTGACAGAGAAACAAATGTTTGTAAAGGGTTTGCATTTGTTAGTTTTAATTCACGTGATGATGCATCGAGGGCTTTAAATGCTATTAATGGATATGGATATGATAATTTGATTTTAAGAGTTGAATGGGCCAGGTAAACAATAATTATTTCTTTAAACGAGTATTTAAAAAAAATTTTTTGGCAGAAAAAATTTAATTTTATATTTTCAAACTTTTTTTGCTAGATCATCATCATAAATATATATTTTTTTTTGTTGTTGTCATTATTATTATTATTATAATTATAAAAAGTAATTTAATTAATGCAAAGAAAAAGATTAAATAAATAAATTTATTTATTAAAATATTAAATAACTTTTAAATTATGTGGGGGCTTTTCAATATAAACCAGGCCATGTTATGAAGTAATTTACTATTTTTAAAACTTTAAGCCAAAAATGTTTTACATAGGAAGTTACATATAGCAATGATATTTACTCAAAATTGCTTTTTTCACAATATGGTCCGCTCCTATTGGAAAGCCCCCATATTATCACCACCACATTATTAAAATAAATTTTATTGATTAATTAATTAATTAAAAATATGTTACAGTAATTTAAATAAAAATAGTTGAATAATAATAATAATAAAAGGTTAGGAAAAACTTATTATTAAGTGTTAAAATATCTCTAGTTTTAATAACAATAATATAATTATTAGCATAGTTAAGAATTCAATATTAAAAAATAAATAACATTTACATCAATTATAAATATATATGTGCTACTGCACTACATCTACTTTGTTAACTGAAGATGCATCCCGAGTAGCAGCTTTTGCTCCACAAGTTGTACTATGGGTTAAATTACTATCAATGCTATTATTATAAATATCATTATTATTACCTTTATTATTATTCTTAATATTGTCATTATCGGGTTTTAAACATATGTAAGTATTCAAGAAACAAGGATCTCGAACTATTTGCCCAGTTGTATAACGTTCTTTTGGATTAGGCTCTATTATTTTTGACATTATTTGACGACGATTCTACACAAAGCAAAAAAAAATTATTTTAAGAAATATAATAATTTAGTCATTATCATCATGGAAATTTTTATGATTATTTACATCACTTAATCTTTGAAAAACAGTTAAAGCTTTTCCATGTTTTTTTGCTTCAAGATAAGCATGGTAATTGGGATCTTCGGCATCTTTGGCAATTCGCCATAAAAGTTGTCCAGTGATCATAGCCATATAAATAATACCACAAGCCCAAACATCAACAAGTCTAGGATCAAACCAATCTTCAATAAATTCCTCAGGAGCAATATATGGTTCACTACCAGATATACCACGTGACAAATGAGCTTGAGTTTCCCATGCCATACGGAAACATTCACTATTACCAAAATCAGTGATCTTTAAACAACCTCTTGAGGTTAACAAAAGATTTTCTGGTTTAAGATCACTAATAAATAATAAATAAATAAATCATATTATTGTAAGAATAAAAAATAATTAACTAATTATATATAATTAATAAATGTAATTATCACTAACCGATGAGCAACACCGTTATCATGTAAATATTTTACACCATTTATTAGTTGACCAAAAAAACAACCAGCTTCTTCTTGTTCCAATGGGCCATATGAGGTAATCAGTGAATATAAATCACCACCAGGACAATATTCCATTACTTCACAATAATTTCCTTGTGTGTCCTGAAGTAGATCCAATGTATTAATGACATTAATATGATGGAGTGAGGAAGAAATACAAAATTCAGAAGTTAATCTTTTTATATATTTCTTCGGTGGTTCATTGTGCCTTTTCTTAAACTCCTATTATTTTAAAAAACAAATATACAACTGTCACTTGGTCATGTGATCAGGGTTATCAAAACACAACAATTTGGATTTTAGGGTAAAGAAAGAGGTGAGTAACCTTAACAGCAAATAGCTTTTCGCCATGTACTCTTGGTATTGCTTTGTGAGCAACTCGAACAATACCAAACGCACCTAATATATGAAGTAGAAAAAAAAGTTTTTTGTTGTATATATTAATAATTAATAACTTACCAAATCATAAAATTAAATAAATAAATAAATACCCTTTCCAATAATTTCTTGAGGTTTTCCGTATTTTTCTAATAATGAAGATTCAGAATTAGACTTTTTAAATGATGGTCTTACAATATCAGCATTATTATTATCATTATCATTATTATTTATAATTTGCTGCTGCTCCTCAACAGGAACATGATGAATAATTCCAAGTTCTCTTAGGAAGTTTGGAAATCTGTGAGTTCTCTTGGAAGGTTGTAAACAATGAACATGAGAACCATCAGCATTTTTTCGAAAACGTACATTTTGTTGTTGAGCCGTTGTAAAATTACTGGCGCGTGAACTTTGATAGGTATCGGAAGATTTAATAGACGAGGCTTTGGAATGATTTTCAGCTTCAGATTCGTTGTAAGATGCCTTTGAATCATTTTGATGTTTTGCTTTTTCAATATTATCAACATGAAACATTTTTTGTAAAGTGTTATGTATTTTATTTCCAGCATGCTTTGTTTCTTTTGAAGGAACATTAGGATCGCTAGGTTTAATTTCGTCATGAACCATTGTTTCGTCAACAGAAGATTGATTGGGTATGTTGTTGTTGTGACTGTGGTTAAGAAATAGCTTTTAATTGATAATTTACGTTTGTTGAAAATTTTTTTGTCTAAATAAAAATTTTAAATTACGTGTTTTTTTTTTTTTAAAGAAATATAACTTGGTTACACGAATTCTTTATTAAACAAAAAGTGAGTATTTGATTTCTAAACAATCAATATTATATTTCAAGTTACTAATCAAGAAACAAAGAGCTATTTTAAGCCAATTAAAGAGATACACTTTTTAATTATTTTTGGCTTCCTTGTGTGAGGAATGAAACCTCGAACAGCCTTTCTCACCTGACTAACTAATACTTATTTAATAAATATTAATTATTTTTGTATAAGAACTGAGGGAACTTTGATTAATTCGAGAAAAAAGATTACGAACGTTCTAACGAAAAATTTAATTTTTCTACCTTAATTTATAAAAAATGATTAGGTAATAAAAAAAACTGTATTCAAAAATTAATTTAGATATTAGTAATATATTATTATGACGTAATAAGAGAGATATGAAAAATAAAATTATAAATATCCAAGAATATTTTTTATAAAATTTTGTTTAAAACCGAAAAGATAAATAATTTGATGAAATATTTACATTACTAAAATGTTAAATAAAGATTCATGGCATAATATAAAAGATGTTTCATTATAATTTTGTGCACTTTTTTTTTATTATGGGCATGTGAATCAACAGTAATAAACACTTGGACATTTGACCAAAATTTTCATATTGTGCTAACTTTTTACCTGAACGCCAGATTTAAACTTTTGGTAATTGGATCAAAAAAGGAAATGTTGACGGTGTAACAAGATTAGATTGATGATAAGATCAATTTAAATTCTAGATTGACTAAATTTTGTGCCTTTCTTTTCGTTATAATAAAGAACTAACTGTATTCAATCGTTCATCATCATCACAGGGATTAAGGGAATGTTAAGAATGTATCCACATGTTGGTTGGGTTTTTTAAAAAAAGTCATTCATGTAAAAAAATTTGTGGCGTAAATATTGGTAATAATTTTATTTTCCTTTAATGTTTAATTCGTGATACGTGAGACAACTGATGCTAATATTAAAGCAGTGTGTTCGAGTGCTTGGCCAATTAATAAAATTCAACACCCAGATAATCTGTCAAATTAAAATTTAGCGCTTGGATAATCAATGATTGCTCGATTATTCACCGAATATCCGTTGAATATCCGCCGAATAAGGCTCTGAACGAATCAATGGAATTCGAGCCGATTCGAATCACCTAATTTTGATTCGTTTCATGCGAATCTATTTGACTTGGCTCGAATCTAATTCAAATTCTGGATAATTTAAAAAGTTGCCTTTGGAAATAAATGTTTCGAAAGCCAAAAAAAAATATATCCCTAGTGCAATGATTGCATTTGGCTTTCCATATACAACTGTAATAATATAATTACACACTTCACCTCTTGTTCTTCTTTGAACACATTGCACCGTGCCTGTTGAAGAGGCATCATTTTCAACAATGCAATTATCGTCGTTCGTCATTGTTATGTTTATTATTTAAATTTAAAACAACGAATTCATGCAACTGTAAATTATATATTGCTTTTATTTGTTATCGTTATTAATATTAAATATGCAGAGTTTCTATTCGTAATACAAATTCGAATAGAAACCCTGTTAATATGACATGATTCGATTCGATTCGTCCGTAATCTTACCGCCAAATATCTTACTCTGAAGTCTGCGGAGATAAAATAGTATGTTATGTATTTATTCACAATAAACTCTTTTCACCCAATGAATAATATTCAATGAATATTGGTTAATCAGATATTTGATTTTTTCATTGATTGATTTGATTGACCAATATAATAAGTTAAAAATGAATATTCAATGAATCAACATATTGTGTAACTGAGTTGAGATAAAACGTTAAATAAATTCTCATTTAATTTATCTAATTAATTAAATTTAAAATGAAACAAAGCCTCAGTCACTATAATAGGAAAAAGTAATAATACAATAATGAGAAGGGTGGAGTCTTTTGCTGCTCATATATTGAAGAAAAGGGTGGTTCTAAGAATTCAAGTTGGATATGGAACTTGATGGAAGAAACTGAAATTGTAAAAAATCTAAAAGGTGCTATTTGTCAAGTCAATGTCTCTAAAGTTCTGATATTAATGTTGTAGTGTGTGGTTGTGAATCTACATCTAATTGTATTACACACTTATATGCCCTGTGAAAAAACTATCCATGATTTAAAATTCCCAGAAAATGTATCATATTCATGGAAAAATCATGGAAATTTTCTGGAATTTAAATTCAAATAATGGGCTGATTTTTTTTATTGTTTTTTGAAAAAAATATTGATAATTTTGATAGAGTGTAAAATGATTAAAATATTTTGTTAACAATGAATATTCACTGGATACTTACTGAATAATCATTCACTCAATAATCAATTTAATAATTGAATGAATATCCAAATATTTTAATTGATGATCCGCGAATGAATGAGTGTGTCGTACGTTAAAATAGGAGATTTCATATCAAATGACCGGCAAAAAAAAATCTAGAAGTGCTGATTTTACTATTAGAAAATTTTACTTTATGATCTTTTACAAGAAAAATAGCACTATGCTTTTGATCCTCAAATTTATATCCCTTTATTTTATAAGATGGAATAAACATCAAAGAATATATTGGTACATTTTTTTTGATTTTTAATCAGAAAATAAAAAACTTTCCTGTAGATTTTTCATCTATATGAAATTTCCCTCACAAATTACTATAGAAATAATCAACATCAATTAATTATTCACCAAATGATTATCCCAAATATTAAGTTTAATTGATTGAATGAATATAAAATGAATGTATATGGGCACAATCTCTATTAATATTAATATCACTCGACGAATATAACAGTATGTGGGGAATTATCATGCTAACCAAATTTAGAAATCATTGGTAGATTTTGCAAATAATTTCCAAATTTGATTAGCACTGATAATTCTGCATACTGAATTTTTTATAGCTCAAGTCATCTATATAGAACTGACCAATTTTATGCAGCATTTTTGAAGCCTATCACATGGACACATAGAGCACCTTTGCACTCAAACTCTTCATAATTTTATAGTAAATACCAAATAATAATTCCATGAAAAGTTGGATGTAAAATATTAAATTAGGTTTTTAACCCCTTTATGCTGTCAGCCCTGGTTTAGATGATAAAAATCCGATCATTGGGCCACTATTATGTCACAAAAATCAAGTAAAATTAACCAATGAAAATCATGCACGCAACATTTTAATTTTTTTATCTAAATTCAAAGAATTTTTTTTTCTTTCGTCAGGACTGATTATATCGACAAGAGGATTGATTTCACAGCTTATTTTCATCAAAATCCAGTTATATTGATATACTTAACAATCATATATAATATAGAGTTATATAATATATATCTTGATATACAAGGACCAAAATTTTTTCGGTTTACACTTTTATTCATTTTATTAAAGATAAATGATAGTTATTTATTTATTATTACTTGAATTATCTATACAATAGAAAGAATGTTGGTGATAGTGTATTAGTGGATAAAATAGTATTTATATGTTAATGTATTAAAAAAATTTCTTTCAATTACATGGATATTTTTTATATCCTGTACCACTGACTATTCTGGTGAAAATTTTTCAATTAATCAATGAAAATTTTTCAACGTCCGATAATCGGTGAATATCATGTAGTTTTGCCTTTTTTTTGTCGATCAATATTTATCATATCTGAAATTTGTCTCCGAAAATCAACGCTAATAAAAAAATTATTTTTGGCCCTGTCGTATTTTTATTGTTATTTATTATTAATAGTATTATTTATTTTTGGTGACCAACCGTATTTATTATTATGAAAAAAATATTTGGTCTCCAAAAATATATTTTTTCATTGTCATAGTTTATTTATTATCGTTAATTTAATTCACTTGTAAAAATAATTTCACGTATAACATTAAACAAATAAATTCTTTGTTTCGCTTATAAAAACACTTTTGTAGTCGGAAATTAAACAGTAGGGTTTAATTGTTCATTTGGTTATCAGAGTGATATAGAACTCTGAGGTTTTGTTTATTTGCTTTGGTATAAAGCAAAGGTTTTAACAAGTGTAGTGTTAACATTGGATTGTATAGAAAATTTTCTGTTTCTTTGATTTCAAATAGCATTTGTTCTATATTATGATATTTCCAATAATTAATCATTGTTATTCGTAATTAATTTTGTTACCCATAGTTAGTTTCGTCACCGTAAGAGTAATTAATTTCGCAATTACGTTTTTTAAAAGAGGTAAAGTGGTGATAATTATAAATTACGTATTTACGATAGTTAGGTAATTACCATCCCATGTATAATCAATATTGCACCAGCCGGGATGCTTAACAGTCTAGGATGAACAACATCCAACAAAGTTGGGTATTGAAATAAATTAATTCTTTATTATCAACAGTATACTGGTATATATCATAAAGATATTAATAAAACGAATCTATTCCTTTCCTTAAAGAAATCATCATGTGAACTGGGTTATCATCGCTTAAAATTATGTTAACAGACCTATTCCCGAAGGCAAGGTATGGATGGACGTAACTTTATAATAGAGAGTTTCGAACTTTTTTGGTTACCTTCTTGGGTGGGTTGAATAGATAATTAAAGACTCTCAAACCTTGAAATTTTTTATGAGTTCATAAAAAAGAGTGTTCTTAAAAAGGAAATCATTTATAGGCGCATTTTCCCTCTAGATTTCTCTAGGAATCTGGTTTCTTGTAGAGTAATAAAAAACCTTATTCGCCAAACCTTGTTTTGCATTATTGTCGCTTTAATGGAATTTACAAGGCCAACAATTCTACCTGTAAAAAAGAAATTCATTCGCAATTAATGATTCCAAAAAAAATTTTATAGTAAAACTCCTCTTTTATATTATTTGTCCAAAGAAAAAAAAAAATACCTTTCTCATAGTGAAATTTATTTTATTTTTTATAAAAAGCTTTTGCATTAAAAACGATCATTAAAATTTTAACATTTCTTTGCGTACATACAAAAAGTCATAGTCCAACTCTAAAACTCTTGATAGATTATAATGCTGGAATAGAAGAAGCCAGACAAAAATTGCAAGATAAAGTGGTTAAAGTGGCAAAGTTTGATGAATAGGGTGAATTAGTTGAATTATTTCATTTAATAGGAGAAGAATCTCTTTTCTTTTACAAAATCTTTGTCAAGTTGGTTGGTTTGCTATCTGAATTTATTAGTGGAAAGGAAAAATTACTTAATTTAAAATTGAATGGGCCCTACTAAAGATAAAGTGATTGACTACAATCAATTGAATACAACATTGAGCAAGCCAAGAATGACAAACTTTCTGACGATGATCAAAAAGCAGATAAAAAGACTCTCAAAATTCTCATCAGATCCACTTGTTGCTGTAGCTATCTTAACTAATTTGGCAAGATATATTGACATTATTTAATAGCTCTAGTTGGAGTCCAGTTGATATAACATATGCAAAAATGGCAGAAAGGAAAATATCATCCGAGAGAAGCATTGGAAACTTTCAAAAAAAAAATAAAATACTATTGATGCAAGACTCAATAATCGAAATTGTGCATGCCATCACCAGTTTAGACAAGAACTACAGATATATTTAAAGGTGATTTAGAATTTAAAGAAGCATTGGAAAAGGAAGAAAGTATCCAATCTTTTTTATCATACAGATTTTGTCAAAGATGGCATGGGCTACAAGAGTAAAAATAATAAAGTGCACTATTGGTATCACACAGTTAAAAACAAACAACATGGATTAGAGGATTTCACCTCATATAAGGAAATAGTGAAGACTGTATATGAGAAATTTGTTGATGAAGCCATTAATTAATTAAATAATTATTTATTATTAATTTAATCAGTGTATTTTTACATTATGATGTTTGAAAAATGCTAATAATATATGAGAGACCATGTATAAATGTTGATTAAATGCATTTTTATTTTTTACTTTATTTTTAAATATTAAATATTAATAATTTGATAGCTAATTAAATAGTTAATCAAATACAACATTCTGCTGGTTGATCATATGTAATATTTTTACTAAAGATATAACTACCAATAAAAGCACCCAATACAACACTTATGATAAGAAATCCATTATAAGTCATAAATATTAACATTATGAAAAGTGACAAAGTTGTTTGAATAGAATAAATTAATGATCTTAAGACCTGTTGAGATTTAGAAGCTCTAAATATATACCAGATAAGAAACAAATATTTTAATTATTATAATTAATATGGTCAATTGTTGTGGATGATTAATCGAATTTTTTTTACCTTGTTGATATTCTAGAGCCCCTACTTCTAGATTCCTCTTCATTTGATACTAAATTATCATCTTCAGGTATTGAACGATATTCTTCTTGATATAATTTCTTGTCATAATTTTTTGATAAATATTTTGTGTATTCATAAATCACACCAATTAAAATAATAATTCCACATGATAAAATAAGAATTGGTATTGAGTTTATATGCCACCATGAAAAAACTACACAAAGATGTTCTATGTCCCAATTAAACAACATCTATAAAAATATTACAAGGCAATTAATTATATATTATGCATTAATTAATCTTGATTAATTGATTATAATACATACTCTCATGTAGCATCTTCTCTCTACATCAATTACTACATCGTTTGCAAATAAATGATCCATTATTATTATTATTTATTTATTATTAATTGTTGATAGAAAAATAAAGAAGAAAAATAAAGAAGGTATTATTATTTATTATGGAAAAATAAAGGATATTATTTATTTATAATACTAATACCAAAATACCAAAAAGTCATATGCGAGTAATCTAGTAACACCAATTTAATTAATTTAATTACTAATGGACGATCTAATAATTGTGGGGTTGACGTACAACTTTAGCAGTTTTTACTCTCTATAGTTAGTATCAGTAATTTTTTGTAACATGCATATGTAAACTCGATAAGTAGAACGCAGCGATCAATTGTTTAAAGTACTTGGTAATATAAATAAATGACGTATTAGTGCAGATCATCTATAAGCTTAAAATTTTTATATCGTTTTAAAGTTAACTGCTAGTTTTTTCTTAAACTATAAATTGGCAGAGTCTTAGCGTTTTGAATATTTTTACATATATATTGATTATTTATTCCTTTTTTATTATTATCAAGTTTTTTTACAATAAAAAAGTTAACAATCATATTAACATCAAAAGAAACTCCTTATCATGTAATTCATAACGAAAATTATTATTGCATAATTCTCAAATTTAAAAAATCCATGAAAAAAATAATGAGAAATTTTTTTTTACATGAATTGACTTTTTTTTAGAGCTGAATAGAATGGTGTATTTTTTAAAAATTCAACATGTGAATTACATAATATTTCAAATTTTTTAATTTTTGAGTATAGATAATCCGCACTCTAGTGCCATAGATGGCATGACCTTTATATATGAATAGGATTCAAAAATAAGCGATAAAGACTTTATTTATAGAATTATTATTCGGCTGCACGTGATATTTAAGACTTTATAGTAATAGAGGAATATCATGTAATTCACATGTTGGACTCTAAAAAAACTACCACCATTCAATTCGGCTTTAAAAAGGAAGTCGATTCATGTAAAAAGAAATGTCTAAAAAATTGGAATGCAATTATTTTGATCTACACACCATATTGAGTTCGTTTAACAAATTTAGAATTTAAGGCTTTGCCAATTTTTTTTAGTTCAAGAAAAGCTACTGATAGGTTTTGAAGCTTGAATCATGAACAATGAAACTTATCGGTAAAAATTTTGTTACAATAAACTTATTATTATAGATGATCTGCACCGTTAATATATAATAATAAAAACTGATGATAAGGAGAAAATCACGTAAATACTTTTCTTCTATTTTCGGAATGTCGCCCTCTTCTGCTCAAAGAGTTCTTCTTAAATCTATAGCGTCGGCCGACCCAGAAGGACGTTTTGAAATCGTCGATGATATTCAAACATTTTATAAAATAGCAATCCCTCAACAAGAAGAACAAAAACAAAATTTACATGTCAATAGCAACAACAACGTAGATTCAGATAAACCTGTGATTTTATGTCTTCATCAGATTTTTGGGAATTTATACACATGGAGACATCTCATGCAACCACTTGCTAATGCTACAGGTTGTCATGTAATAGCTTATGATAGAGTATGTTTTGGTTTTACCGAAAGGCCAATACAATGGGAAGAAGGCAAAAATCCTTATACACAAGAAGCTTCATGTGAATTTGTATTGAAGCTTTTATCATGTTTAGGATATGCAAATAAAAAGATTATATTTGTTGGATCATCTGCTGGTAGTGCAATTAGCTGCTATCTCTCAATAAAATATCCACATATTGCTTTTGCTTTGATTTTTCTTGGTCCTGCTATAAAACCTGTAGATCAAGGCAAAAATTTTTCTTTACAAAAAAAAATTGATTATAATTTATATATTTAATATTAATTTAAAATTTTTTTATGTTTTTTAGGTCCACCATCAATTATACGTAAGATTATAGGATCATTTCTTGGAAAATTGATTCTTAAATCTTTTCTACACACATCTTTTCCAGTACAATCATTATATAATGATGTAAAGTCGATTCCTGATTGGGCAACTGTGGTCAAGCCTTGTTATAGAGTACCATTAACTTTACCAAATTTTTATGAATCAGTTGCATTCCTAATGAAATATTTTATTCCACTTGAAATTCTACCACATAAAAATGTATTACAAAAAATTCCAATTTTATTCATGATAGGAGATAATGACACATACACAAAATATGATGCACACATAAACGTATTCGAAGAAATCAAACTGGGCTCATCGTCTGATTCAATCTTGGAGTTTAAAGCACTGACACAATGTGGACATTTTCCTCAAGATGAAAAACCTCAAGAGGTCTTACAATCAATGATTGATTTCTTGGGAAAACTTGGAATCTAATATTTATCTATTATATTGTATTTATTTGTTATTATTTAAGTTAACCTCGCATAGCAACTACTAGAAATTTTATTTATTTGCGAAAACAAAATGTTTGCGTGTAACTTTTATTACTATTCACTTATTATACTGTCACGAAAATCTTTATTTTTAAAAATAAATAAATTAATAATGCACAATGTTCCACCTTTTGATTTTGCTCTCAAGAAACAAAACTGTTCTGATATAAAAATTTTATTAATGTTTCCTTTTTGAAAACAGAAAGTATATATGTAGATCCCCAATTGAAAAAATTCAAGGTTGGTTATAATAATAATAATAAATTTATTAATGTGTGGAATTGTTGTACGTGAAAATGAAATTATGTGAATTCGCAATTCACATATTAATATGTGAAATTCAAATTTACATGTGTGAAATTCAAATTAGCCAATCAGAATTTCACCCCACTCCATAATATTTCAATTTCACATAATTTCAATGATATTCCGCCTGGAATAGGAATGTTCTAATGGCACAACCGTCTATTGTTACACATTACACTTAATCTTTCTTTTAAAATATTTAATATGGAAAACGATGAAATAATCATTTTAGATGATATTAATAATGTTAAGAATAACGAAAATTCAATTGAAACATCAAATACAAAGCTTGGTAATAGATCTTCATTATTACAACAAAGATCCAGTTTGTCTACCTCTCCACCTTCAATAAAATCACCTTCTGCTAATTTAACAATAAATATTCATGGTGGTGATAATAATACCCTTACAAATCTTAGCAGTAATATTAATAACAATGAGTCGACTGTAATGTTACTAGCACATGATAGTAGTGATGATGAATTGGAAAATTCTTCTTCAACACAAAAAAGCATTCTTCTATCACCCCTAAAGGACAATGATCATAACAGTAATAATAAAAAACCAGATGCTTATAATTATACACTTAGTTGGGGAAATATTTTAAAAAATCTTTCCTACATACTTATTTGGTATTTTTTCTCTACTGTTTTATCATTCTATAACAAGAGTTTAATGGGGAAAGATAATTTCAATTTAAAATTACCATTATTTACAAGTGCTATACATACTGGAATGCATTCTATCATAACTCTTGTTTTGATGAATGATACTTTACCATTTATTTATGAAAGAAAAAAAGGAAAATCAATATCAATTCATAGTTATGTTACTAGAGTTGTAAGTTTTTTATTTTTTATTTGTTTGGAGGGAGAGGAAAATTTTACAATTATTTTTAAAGCTTCCCTCCTTTATTATTATTAGATTCCATGTGCTGTGGCTGCTGCATTAGAAATATGTATGGCTAATGCATCCCTTGTATATATAACACTCAGTTTTTATACTATGGTAAGAAAAAAAAATTATAGATATTTATTATCAATTAGGAGAGGGTTTTTATCTCCAAATTTTCTCATTTAATTAAAACTTATATAATTTCCAACCTGTATTTTCTTCAAAGGTAAAATCATCTACACCAGTTTGGGTTTTGCTTTTTGCATTTTTATTTCATTTAGAACAACCAAGAATTTTACTTGTATTGATAATAACAGTGATAAGTGTGGGTGTGATATTGACAGTGGCAGGGGAAACAAAATTTAATCTGATGGGGTTTTTATTAGTATTAGGTGCAGCAATTATTAGTGGATTGAGATGGACATTGACACAAATATTGTTGCAGAAAGAGGAAGGAATGAATGATCCAATCTCAACACTTTATTACATCTCACCTGTAATGTTTATCATGATGCTTATTCTTTCTTTAATGTTTGAAAATCCTTTATTCATCTTTAGTACTTCTATACATTTTCGAAGTTTTAAAACTAGCTTACAAACATTTGGTTTAATGTTAACAGGTGGCTTGTTAGCCTTTTGTATGACTGTGGCTGAATTTGCTTTAATCAAAAACACAAGTACTGTCACGCTATCTGTAGCTGGAATTAGTAAAGAAGTGCTTGTCATTGCTCTTTCTGTCATTATTTATAATGATGCAATAACTTCTGTAAATTTGTTGGGGTAATTATATATATACATCTTTTTTTGTGAATTAAATAATTTTTTGGGAGAAAATATTTCTAAATTAAATGTTTCTTTAATTATTTAGGCTTATAATTTCAATTTCTGGAATAACAGTATATAATTATTACAAAATACTTAAACCAACAAATACAAATCATTATCAATCATTACCATCAACATCTCAATAATAATTGTAATTATTGTTGCTATCAATTGGACATAAAAAAAATAAGATCATTAAACTATTCCATATGTAAAAACTTTTTATATGTAGGAAATAGAAATTTGTATAGTAAAAAACATAATAAAATTTTTAACTTTAACCAATGGTACGACTTTGTCATTAAAACTACAAAAACTTTGCAAGAGTGGATGCATTAACAGAGAACAATGAATTTATTTATTTAAAGCATGTATTTTTACAAGGCACTTATAAAATTTTATTTACATTTATGATGCTCAAGATTATTAGTATTATCTGAGATAGTTTGCTGGATACTGTCATTTCTTGAGGACCAAACTCAATACATTTGCATTGTTCATTGTTATTACTTATCTCTTCACCTTCATTATTTTTTGAAATTTCTTATCTTTGGGTTTTTCTATTCTTTGTATCGACAAAGCTTTCCGCATATCGTGTAATCCAATTGCAACAAGGGGAATATTCACCCCTCAAGTGAGATTTTACTTGGTCATATATTTTCTAATTCAACAAATTCTTCACAGCCATGTTAAAAATAAAAATTTATCCATAACATACACATGTAAATAATAAATAATAATGTACCTAATGATATTATTATCATTGTTATTTGTCTGTATATAAAAAACATTTTTTTTTTCTTATGTTGAGCATGAGAAAATGAAATGCTCCGAGCAGAAACTACGTGATGGCTTTTGTTTGTAAGTGCTGATTTTTTGATATCTCTAGTGAAATCAAAACGTGGAGCGATGTCTTTTACATTATAATTATATAATGATGGATGATTTATCATGATAATAACATCAATAATTACAAGAAGTGTCAAAGCAACATAACTATTGAAGATCTTTCTCTCTCTCCCTTTCTCTCATGGAAAACTGCTCTTGGACAATCTGGAAATACCAAAAAAGATCCATTTGATTATTGGAAATTGATTTACTATTGAGATATTGAATATACTACAATTAAATTTTTCAGGGGGGCTATCACGGCTTTAGTACTAGGATTTATTAAACCTCTTACGTAAAATGTCATCTGTGGAGAAAATTGCAAAAGGAAAATTTTATTAAATCTGGCGCTTACAATATCAGGGTTGGATATTATCTTGCATCCTTAAGTCCAAATCTGCTGCCCCGTATTCAGACAATAATATTAAGTATAGGACAAACAACATCGTCACAAACAATTACAACCTTCACTCAAGCAACTCCACTCCACCATATATCATTTTAAGGAACTCTATAACACACAAAAAAAAAAAAGGAAGCCAAGTAGAGACTCGACACTAAAATATTCACAACACTTTAGATGGAACCATTATTTTACATGGAAAAGAGGCTCGGATTAAAATTCACAAAAATATCAAGGATTTATTTCCAACTCTTATCTTATACTCGTCAGCATATTATTTATTAATTAATCCAACAATAATTATCATGGGTATTGTAACGGACATATACAATATATCTTCGTTTGAAATCCTATTTAAAGTATATAATAGCATGAAAAACAATAAAGAAATTAATAATTACTCAAAAAAAAAACAAATCTGTTACGCGGATTTAAATTCTACTTAAAATTGCCTGAAATGAATATTAACTATTGCATCTAAATTTATTATTTCAAAAGTTGAGATGTGAATTTCATTATATATAACAAA